AAGTTGCAAGCAGATAGGGGAACAAGGCGGGCAGAATGACTATAGCTTCCGATATTAAGAAATCGTGTTTAATATATGAATTGAGTTTTTCAATTAACTTCTAATTACTGAAATTTTTGAAATAATGAGAGAAAAACTTTTCCGAGATAAAAAAAAATTTTCGTAAAAAAAAAATTCTTCCATAAAATTAATAGATGATATTCGTGGGATTCGAACCCCTAGCAATAAAAATCCAACGTATCAATAGCATACTGCTTTGAGACTAACGCGTTAACCACTATGCTACATCACTCATGGTGATATTGGGCATCATGTTTGTGATATGACCCGCATATGAATGGACTTGAAATAACGTGTATTTCTCGGAAAGATGCGAATGTTGTGTCATAAAAGTGTACTTTTAAGGTATAGTTGGTCTTCGCTCCATGGTTTTGTAAACCAAAAAAAAGTGTATTTTATTGCAAATTTTTAGGATCATCTTTCCAAAAAATGGAGCGAAGATCCACTCATATTGAAAAATGTTGTTAAAGTACGAGAAAATGGTCGTTTTTGTTCTTTTAAGTGTAAGCTTTTTCATAGGCAAATATTTTCAGTTTTTGTGAGATTGTTGTAGAGATTTTACATGAAAAATACTCTAAATTTAGATGAAATATCAAAAAAAAAAATTGGACTTAATTGAGATTAAAATTTTCACTTCCTATCTGTCGCACTATAAGCACTTCACCCGCATTATCCCCCATCTTCTTTGTTTCCGATATTGCACTGGCACCGGCCGCCTACCAGATGATCCATGATTTCAAAAGAATATGTTTCTGAGCATACAGAGGATACATGTACAACACTTAGCATGGTCCTTTTGCTCGTAAAGAAAAGCTTTATTATAAGATTTTTCCTTCACATGTATGTTTCTATGAAAAACTTCAATTCTTAATGTCCCCAAAGGCTATCCGCAAATGAAGATTTGACTATTTTTTCGAAACTTATTCAGAGAGCTTTCTCCGAGTGCACTATGTGTCAAACCCTGCCTACTATTTAGGCATAGTACATGCATAATGCAACACTATTGTTATTATTATGCTGACTGTTGTAATTACTTATGCGCAATCCATTTGACTTTTTCCTGAAAATATCGGTGCTAACACAGCGCACTTGCAAGAACTCATTCAAAATCTTCATGCTAAAATTTGTTGCATGCTTAGTTATTTTGTTTACTATTATTTTCTCTAAATAAGTTGGGATTTTCTGTCCCAAAGCAACTCATCTTTATTTTTCTGTTTTGTTAGTAAGACTTATTTGTTTGCAGACGTCGATTCTCATTGATAATTTTCTTTACATCCGTCAATCAAGCGTCGTATAAAAAGCGTTTTGATGACCCTATGAAATGAGTTCATGTAATTATAGTTTGAAACTTTGTTGTATACATTAATCTAAGATTCCTTAGAATATTATATAACTGTTTTCAAATAATATTTGTCTATTTCTTCCTTCTTGTGTCAATTGTATAAATTAAGTTTATATATTTAATGAAATTCTTTTAATCAGTGATTGTCTCTGTGGCGTAATCGATAAGTAGCAATGGAAAAGCAAAGGGCAATAACTCCAAAATTTGACAAAATTTTGTTGTCAAAAAATGGTGTAAAAAATAAACAATAGGGTGGTCGTGTGTTACGGACTTATACAGTGAGACGATGACATGTAGAGTCTTGAAAGTTTTTCAGAAACCTTCTTGAAGTATTACTGCAAGTGTATATCGATGAAAATCAATTAATTTGCATCATTTTAATGGTCAAAAAATAATAATGAAATATTTCTTTCTTGAGAAAAAAATGAATTTCAGAATATACACCCAAAAGACCCGATTTTTATGAAACAGTAAAGTAATTTCTATGAGAATTTTACTTAAAAATTATTTTAAATCCTTGTATTCAACACCAAATTATGTTTTATGACATGGACTATTTTAGCCTGATAAGGTTATTTACCCTTTGCTGTCAGGATCCTATTAAATTGCAGGGTGCAAAATGGTCACACACCATGTGAATATCTTGCTTTCAACAATTTAGTTTATTTGACTGTGTTAGGTGACGTACAATGGTGATGATCATACCAGAAGGGGGGGGGGTATTCAGCATATAACAGTGTTGGCTTTTCACTTTTTATTTTGAATTTCATTGAAAATTACAGATAGTTTTCTAAATACACATATACACACTCAAGAAATGATAAGTTACTTGATAATTCCATTTACACATTAAGATCGTTGCACCCCCCCCCCCTTTTCAAGCCAAGCTTATCCATATCAAACTACACTAGTACAGATCAATTTGATTTACTTCATAAAAATGTATCAACAATAATTCAAATTTAATTTAGAAATTACAATGCAATTAATCAAGGAGAACTTTGCACATAACAGACTATCAGAAGAACAACATATGTAGTGTATATTTAAAGTACGTTAATGAGAAATTATTGGACTTAGAATTGAGTCATTTATCTTCTTGAATATGAATACAAATAAATCATGTAATTACAAAATATCTGATCATGATATTTTTTAAGTTTCTATCTCGCATAGAATGAAAAAGAAGGTGAAAACAGTTACTACAATTCAAACTTAAAAGTTCTGGCAACCGTACAATATTTGATTTTCATGTTATGAATATATAATATACACTAGGAAACAATTTAAATACATATTTTTTTTGTTTATGTAGTTATTGTAAAGAACTTTGCATTAAATGAAGAACAGCAGCTTAATAGATTTTGTCCCTTTGATTTTTTTTAAAAAAATGGCAACAATTTTTGTTTCAAGTCATGTGAAAACATAAAAACAAACATTATCATAACTTCTTTATTTTTCAACCGATTTTAAAAAATGAAACTGTTTTGGAAATGGTTATGAAGGCTCTTAAATAAAAAGCATTGTTTTTTAATCTGAGAAGTGCTTTTAAAAATCATGTTCCATAGCTACGATAAGGCATCGTATTGAGAATCTTATGGTCGTGAGTTCGATCCCCGCCGTGTGCATTGAAGAATTCTATGCGAGAATAGTAGGGTATGGGTTATATAGAGACAAACTGACAGGAAGCATAATAATTCGTGATTAATGGCTATATGTACCCACGAAATCTATGAACTTTTATAGCCTTCGAGCAATGAACCATGCACAGAATGTTTGTATTGTATTTATAATGGATGTGTATATTGTATAAATGTCTAAAGAAAGTGACTTTGTCAATAAGACAAAATATCCACAAAAAAAACCCCACCAATAATTTCAAGTTGTTTGTACAAGTCACAATGTTTAACAGATATATATGACTGTCTACTATCTATTGAATACAGATAAAAGAAGTTAGGATAAAATTTATCATTGCCAATTTTCGACCGTTCAGGATAACTTTGTTCAATGTTAATGCAAGACTATGTAAATAATTGGACCCAACAAATATTGAAAGGATCTGGGAGTCTAGAGAACAGGGAATTTAAGTGTTAAATGTTTTCATGTGCCTTTTAAAAATTCTTTTAATTATTTGTTTGCATACCAACAAAACGGCTTTGTTTAAAATATATCAGAGTGAATATAGATTCATATGTGCACAATAATGATGAATGGTATTTGTTTATTTGGTTGATATATTTATTAAAATAGATGAAATAAATAAAAAATTAAACATATGTTAAATTTGTTTTTGAAATTGAAGAAAAATGTTAGTGCTTTCTTTTAATCATCATTTCTGATAAGAAAAGATCACTGCCGCTTGAAATAATCCCTTCCCATACAGGATCCCTGGGTCCTCCAGCAAAAGGAGCATTAAGATTTACAAGAGCACAGTTCTTGTACCACCATCCAGATCCACACTGAGCCGCGCACCTGTTTCTGGCATGGTCGAACGTGGAAAAGGGATGATTCACCACCTCGTGCCACGATCTGAATTTATCAGCTAAAAATAAAAATGTTGAGTAAATATAATCCTATTTTTTAATGATTTTGTTACGCTACTGTTTATAAAGATTTTTACGACTAAATGAAAGAAATGAATAATCGTCATCTACCAATGTTTCCTGACTTCTGCCCTAGAGAAAGTCTGTAACCATCAGTTTCATTGGAGATGGAAAATAAAGTATATTGCACTTCATACGACTTTTTCTTTGTAGATTCCATTCTGATGTACAAGGAGTTTTCGTAGGCTGTGGTCAGCTTACGAATGGCGTCGTTTCCTGAAGTTTTAGATTTATTTTATTACTGTCAAAATGATAAAAATCCCCAAAATAAGATCTTGCTTAATTAATTTCTCTCTTTATCTTTCGAAAAAATGTGTCAGTAGAATATTCTTAGAGAAATATTTAGTAATGTTTGTCTATTTTGTGACAAAACATTGTACCTCCTGGACACATTTTTTTCTAATAGATTTGTTTAGACGATTTTATTAGGCTGTATTTTCATGTTACTGAGACCTCTGACAAAATGTAATATACTAATGGTAACTCCCTGCATATTAGTAAATCCTTTATTCAATAAAAATGCAAATTGCATTGTATGACAAACTGTGTAACATGTTAATTGTGATAACTAACAAGAGTCGCACATCTAAATAATGACAATAAGAGCACACCAAGAGTATGAGAACTATCCTTGAATAGAGAAACAGAAATGAACAATTATGTTACTGGTATATATAACATGTATATATACAGATTCGATATGTGAATATGTTGAATATGTTTGTGCAAATGTACCTACCAATCCAATAATTTCCATTAACATCCCCAAAACCTCGTTTATATTCGTCCCAGGTTGTGTTAAAATTTACACGGGGATTATCTCGATTCCTGTGCTGAATGACCTAAAATAAGATTATCTTTCAAATATAAAGAATACAAAATCTTAAGAATACAATTATGCCTTAAAAAATAGAAACATTAATTATACCATTAAAATATTAATTAAAAATCCTTGAACACATTATTTATGTACTTTTTAAAACTGACAAAAGGAATGTAAAGAGTTATTGTCAGTTTTATCTTAAAATATATTACCGTCCAACCCCCTCCTGCTGATTCCATGTCACACAACACCTGAACGGAAGTCAAGTTGTTTTCACTTTTAAAAGGGAATATTTTATAAATTCCAGTCTTCTTTCTACCCCAGTTGTAGATGTCGTAACAGTCAAACGGATGATGGCAATCTATGAATATATTCAAACTTTTCTAAATATTTATGGTAATGTGATATCCACTTTAAATGTATCTCGATATTTATTTGATAAATTGTGTTAAACACGTGAAAAAATTACAAGGAGATAAACTTTTTATTTTATGGACGTTCCTTAGTTAGCATTAATTGTAAAAGGGAAATCTAGAAAATTAATTAACTCAATAGGGAATGATAAATTCTTCATTGTTTTTTGAGCTGACCAAAAGTGGTAATTAAGTGTCCTGATTTGGAAGGTGCCCCTTTCCCTTTTGGATCAGTAGAGAAATCTAGTAAATTTTAAAGACTCTCTAATCTTATCTTTTCCGAGAATTTCACAAATCTTTGATCTCAAAAAATGTCATTTTCTCTTCAATGAATGGGTTGATAATTGAACGGTGATAAGTTAGAACAGATTTTCCTTACTTTTTGTGATACACGTACAGTAAAACTCGGTTATAACAAAGTCACTGGGACCTATGGAATTACTTCGCTATATCCATAATTCGATTTATCCGTATAAGGAACCGTTAACTTAATATCATTTGGTATCCAAGATAATTTCGCTATATACTGTAAACCAACTTTAATTCGTGATGACATTATTTCGCGATTTATTAGGTATAAACTAGTTCGAGACTATCAATTTTCGCAATCAAGCCTTTCTTGGATCTTTTTTGAATAGATACACTTTTAGGACTAGTTTGCGGCGATGAATATTTACGATGACGAGGCTTTTGCGGACCTCACGAAAATTTCTGGCATGCGAATACAAGTTACTTTACAGTATCCGTGAATTCACAGTATCAGTGTTCGTACAAAATGAGTTTTATTATAGAAAGAAAACAGGATATCAGGTAAAGAAACTTTGAAAAATATCAGGATGTTGGGTCTACTAAGCTACGTGTATTTACCTTATATTTTTTCCTTATATTTTCTTAAATTGTACAATGAAGAAAATTAAGTCGATATTGAGGTTTTCCAATAGTTTAAAGCGATACATTCACACATGCATTGGTAACAAAAGATCTCTTTATAATTAAAAGCTATTTCTATAATCAAAGATGTGCTTAAAAATTTCCAATTTCCCACCATTTAAAGAACGTTCGATAAAGAAAATATTTCTTTGTGCTTAGGATTAAAATATGATACATCTTGTGGTCAGAGAAAACATTAAAAATATTACATATGTTAATGGAATTAGTAAATTTAAAGAACTTTGTCCTTCTGCAACAAACACTTTAAGGGGGACAACTGCTGTTTTCATTGCGCAATACTTCGCGCATCATATTAAAATGACACGTATGTACTGTTTTAAAGCAATTTTTTCCACTTGAGTAATAAAAATTAAACAAAATGAAGAAATTACATGTTCAAAAATGTAATAACAATGTAATTACAATTTCATATAACTGTATTTTTAACCGATTTTGCAACTGATATGCTGACGACGTTATAGTAGTCTGGTCTGATTTATAGAAAAAAATACTTCTAACGGCAAATAATTATTATTTGGTCCAGCATAGTTTTTCAACCTAATTCGAGTATGCTGAATCCGAAAAAATATGCTGGCCTTCATGAAAATGGCGTTAAAGAGGTCAAAATGGCGATTCAAAATGGCGGACATCCGATTTTTGTAATTTTCACTTACTATCGTTCAAAAAGGAGTAATAATGTGTGGATATCTCACTGAGTGTATTACAACTATAAAAATGATAATAGAACGCAGTACAGTTAAGGTGCGCAATGGAAATATCGACTAAATTTTGTATATAAAAATGTATTCGTAATCGGGATAGCGATTATTTTTAGTACATTATTTATATCGGATAATTGCAATTATAATTGATAACTACATATCGAGGACGATTAAATTTTATATTTAGACTAGTCACGTGATACGGCAGTCACGCGATTTTAGCACATTGACGTGCAGTATTGATGTTGCATATAAATATCAATAGTGCAAGGGTATAAGAAAGTCACATTTCCATGTTTATTATATAAATATTTTCAACATGCATTGTAGTTTCTAAAAAGTGCTGCGATCCTGTCTAAATTCTGCAATTTCATTGTTAAAAGTATACTTGTATGACCGAATGCTATTTTTTTCGCTGGTCAGCGGCATGAAATATTGATATAATTAAATTGTCTTTAAGATTTCATCAGGATCGCAGCACTTTTCAGATACCTTAATAGTTCTATAGTTGAAATGTAAAAGCTTACTTTGATCCATAGAGTGTATGCCCTTGCACTAGATCGATTTATTAAGACCCCCCACATTACCCTCCGATGTACTTGCATACAAATATACGACAGTGTCAATTAAATACGCAATGAACAGAAAATATATCAATTAAAGAGTGAAAAAGACAGTAAATTCAAATTATTGACCAATAGAATATCTGTAAATAATATTTCATTTTATAAGAAAATACATATTTTGTTGAGAAAATATTGCTTGATGTGTCTCTCACTGCATACAAAATACGTCACGTTGTAAGAAATGACGTCATATTGACAAGTGTATTGCGATCAGTGACTTGTTTATAACTTGTTATGTAGGATTTAATTGACGACAAAAAAAAACACACTGTAGTAAGTTTTATGTAGTTTGATGATTTCTTACTGGTTAATTTAGCAGATAAACTCATTTTGTGGTATTTGAAAGAAATGTTGTATGACGTTTATTGTGTATGATGTCATAGTCAAGTTTTCCCGTACAAATTAGGCTCCGCCTCTTTTTTGTAACCTTAACTGTGCTGCGGATCCATTTATGTTAGAAAAATACTACGTTGTATTGACCTGCATGTGACGTTCCAGGTGAATACAAGGATTTATTTCCTCTGCATTGATCTAAAAATAGATCGGGGAATTCCAAACTGATACAAATTGTTTTGGAAAGCTATTTAAACAACTATGACTTTTTTCATGTGAACAAAACATAAGCGAATATATATATTTTCGGGTGAGGGTGGTAAGAGGGGACGCAAGGATACCCCTCCAACACTTTTACTGAAGAACAATTTTTACTTTTTGGCAGTCAGTTTTCCCTGATAATACTCCTTCCTTTAAAATCTATCCTAGAAAAAGACTGACATTTTATAATTTTTTTTCATAGCAACTAAAATTGATTAAAAAAAAAACCATTTCAAATTGATACGACTGGTAAGGTTTATTCACATTTTAATTCTGTTTTTCTCTTGTATTTGGCTAGGACTTAATTATTAAATGCAAACAAATATGCTTTATCATTTTATCAGTAAATCATATATTAAAACGATTATTGCTGTTTTTTCTGTTAACACAATGATTAAGCCATCCTCGAAGTACAATATTCACCTCGCCCTTTGGGCTCGGTGAATATTGTACTCCTCAGATGGCTAAATCATTGTATTGACCTCAAAAACAGCAATAATTGTATAATATGGAAGACCACGATCCGGTAGTCCTTTCAAAAAATTCCTTCACATCCCTATAAAAAATCTATTTTAAAAAACAGAAAGTACCAATCTAAACCTTTCCATCTTCACCAGTTGGCAATATTTGCACGTTATCATAGTCAGTCACAACCTTGTAGTTCTTGAGAAGAAAAACCTAGTCCTGTAGGAGAAGCTAACATTTATAACAACAAAGACACTGACAATATAACAAACAAAGGGAAACATTTTGAACTCAAAACCCACTTGATTGATTTAGATGAACTAAAGGCACGAGGAATAAGAGCTGCTCTGATTTTTTAAAAAAGCTTGAAAGTGTACTCAGGATTCTTGATGAAAATTAGGTTGCAACTATTCCAGTGGTTTAATTTTTTTGTGAAATGGAACTTGTTAATGAATGAATGTTGTTCCACTTCTTGGCAAGAAAATTGGTAGAGGTTATAAAAATTCTTTTCAAGCTTCAAAATATTCATGCAATGAGAAAATTAAACTTCTGAGTTTAATAACTGTAAATGTATCCATACACTATCGCATGTGATAGTGATAATATTATATCCTGATATCCCTCCACTTAAAGGTTTTGACTTTTTGAATTTATCATTTCTGATTTGATATCTGAATGTACTTAATACCTTTGATTGAATTCATGTAGAGTACTATGATCGTTTCCTATAGAGTAAGTAGGAGAGGCGGACTGGTTTCCGATAGGACCAGAAGGAGACGTGGACATGTTCCCCGAATGACTAGTAGGAGAGGCAGAAATATTTCCCATAGGATGTACAGGAGAGTCAGGCATGTTTTCCAAAGGATCAGCAGGAAAGACGGGCATGTTTCCTATAGAAACAACAGGGAAGGTAGGCATGTTTCCCATAGCAAAAGCAGGAGAGGTGGCCATGTTTCCCATGTGAGCAACAAGAGAGGTAGACATGTTTTCCAGAGGAATGACAGCAGAGGTAGACATGTTTTCCGAAGAGCCATCTAATTGATTCAAGAGTGGTGAATGCCGTTGTTTTTTGTGGTCTGAAAATTCCCCTTCTTTGATCTTATTAAAAGTCACAAAATATATAAATAATACTAGTTCATCAAGAAGTTAATATTGCGTGCAGTAGTCAAAAATTAAATAATTATGGGCAGTTTAAAAAATTGTAAAGAGAGTCCTAGATACTTTAAATGTGGAAATTTTTTTAGAGTAAATAGTGTTCTGAGTATTAATTTTCCAACTTCAAGTGGGAAGATTTTATTTCCAATACATTTATTACAGTACTTTGCAAAAAGGTAACCAATAGAAGCAATTAATTTAAAATTGACAGTAATTTGGGTTTTTTTTTCAATTTAAATGAAAAAATCAAAATTTTAAAAGTAATCCAACGGTATCAACCTCATTGTGATCAAAGACATCTTCTATTGCTATTACGTTCTAAGTCTAAAATCTTTAGAAAGATATTCAAAAACATAAGGAAAAGTGCCTGTATCAATAAACTTTTAAATAAAACCCCTTCAATTGAATAACGCTGTTAAAATCATACTTG